CTCAGCCCCTCATCGGCGGCCGGCAGCCACCGCCGATGACTGGCCGCCGGCAGCTAGCAACCATCGCCGGGCGCTGGCGCCGGCCACCAGTGTGGTGGCTGCCGATGGAGTTTTTTTGTAACAGTATTTTTTTTTTGTATGGGAGAATATTGCAAGAAATGGTGGGGGTGAGATTTGATCCCACTACCCCTCGGCTATTTAGGCCAACAAAAGGATAGATAACTATTGGGCCATCAAAAACTTATTAACTTTATAATGCAAACAAAAATATAAGTTGACTCTTTTACTGTGACTCTAGCCCGTGACAACAATTTACCTGAGGATGACAAGTCTTAACTGAGAAATAACAAGTCTAAATTTGATATTAACAAAGCAACTTTTCCTGATACATAACAAGAAGTAGCATGTACATTAATTAAAAATGGCAATAATTTATTTGAAAATGACACGTCTTTACTGGAAAATGATACGTCTAAACGTGAGATTAACAATATACATTTTCCTGATACATAACAAGAAGCAGCATGTACATTAATTAAAAATAACCATAATTTATTTGAAAATGACACGTCTTTACTGGAAAATGACAAATCTAAACTTGAGATTAACAATGTGTCTTCTCTTGATACATAATCTAAACGTGAGATTATGTAATCTAAACTTAAGATTAACAATGAGTCTTCGCTAGAAAATGACACGTCTTTTTGTTGGAACCCCCTCTTTTTTTTTAATTAAAAAAAATGGGTTAGTTGTCCGATAAAAAGTAATAATAATAGCAGTACTAGATAGTATTTAATGACAGAAAAATACCAAATAATTCTATTTTTTTTAAGAAGATCAATATTCGCGGCACGCGCATTGTTGTTTTTGTATTACACTCAAAAGGCTCCTTCTTGCCTTAATTAATTAATTATAATTACAAGGATAGAGCTTTATTTTATATTAAAATAGGGCTCTAGTTTATATTTTATATACAATTAACAAGTCTAATCTCACGTTTAGACGTGTCATTTTCCAGTAAAGACACATTGTTAATCTCAAGTTTAGATTACATAATCTCACGTTTAGATTATGTATCAGGAGAAGACACATTGTTAATCTCAAGTTTAGACTTGTCATTTTCCAGTAAAGAAGTGTCATTTTCAAATAAATTATGGTCATTTTTAATTAATGTACATGCTGCTTCTTGTTATGTATCAGGAAAAGGCACATTGTTAATCTCTCGTTTAGACGTGTCATTTTCCAGTAAAGACGTGTCATTTTCAAATAAATTATTGCCATTTTTAATTAATGTACATGCTACTTCTTGTTATGTATCAGGAAAAGTTGCTTTGTTAATATCAAATTTAGACTTGTTATTTCTCAGTTAAGACTTGTCATCCTCAGCTAAATTGTTGTCACGGGCTGGAGTCACAGTAAAAGAGTCAACTTATATTTTTGTTTGCATTATAAAGTTAACAAGTCTTTGAATGGTTATCTATCCTTTTGTTGGCCCAAATGACCAAGGGGTTATGGGATCAAATCCTACCCCCACCATTTCTTGCAATATTCTCCCATACAAAAAAAAAACACTGTTATAAAAAAGCTCCACTGGCAGCTACCACACTGGTGGCCGGCGACGGCACCCGACCGCCGATGAGGGGCTGAGTTTTTATTAAAAAAAAAAAGACAACGGGTATTTTTGTCATTTCACTGAATTTCAAAATTCCAACTTGGGAAGGATTTCCCTATCTGTCATTACATTTCCTTAGCTTCCCAAATTAGAATTTTATGAATTCCACTTTCTTTATCTTTCATTTTCCCTTCTCCTAACAATAATTGAGTAGGAAAAAGAAAATTAAGAAATATGTTTATAATGTTTTGGAAAAAACATACTTCTCTGGTTCTATTTATATATTATTTTCAACATGTTCCATATAAATTAAAAAAAACCTTAAATTTCATTAGCTTTGATTTAAAATTCAACAACTTTCTAATCTTATTCCTATTTAATATATATTATACCTTATATAAACAAAACTAACACAATAATAAATGAAGAGTAAAATTATGTATCTATATACAAAATTTCTCTTAGTACCCTATAAATAGGACAAAATTTTTTTTCTTTCTACTCTATAAATAGAACTAAAAGAGTATTAACTAATTTAATTAATATTTTTAATCTATTTAAATTAGTTAATTAAATTTTATATTAAATTAAAAACCTGAAGACTAAATAAAGTAAATAAGATCTTTCCCATCAGATATTTTCCCCCTTTTTTCCCGTCCATTTTGAAACTCAAGAAAAAAGGGGAGAACCATCGAGTCTGTGCTCAATGAGCACTGCTCATCGGACATACGAGCATCTAATGCTCATCAATGATACGATGTCGTACTTTCCTTGCTCTGTCTGTCCCACAAATTCAATTCCAAGTTCTCTCTCCGCGTCACTTGAGCACTAGCACTGTGATCCCATCTCTCCTCTTCTGTTTTAAAACCTATGGGTCTCTTAATTTTCCAGTCTTATAAACTAATTTTATCGTCAAAGTATTTTCTCAAAGCCCTCCGTCTTCGTATCATCGTTCTCTCCACTCCGTTTCCCTCGTCGCTGGTGTGTGTATGTGTGTAGAGTCTTGATTTTTACTCTTCCTCATCATCTACCTTCGTCCATCGCTGATCCTTCTTCATCATCATCGCTGTGTCGGGCTCGGCCTCCGCAGATGCGTTCTTCATCTTCTTCCTCCTTTCAGATTGTCGTTTGTTGTAAGCACCCCTTCTCTTCTTCTTTTAACTTCTCCTTTCCTTTATTGGGTTATATGAGGTTGTTGAGGGATGGAATTTCGTTTTTGTTTTCTTCTACATTTTTTCTGCTGTAGAATCCTTGAATCATGGAAATAAATTTGTGTGGAACATTGCTAAAAGGTTGGGAAAAAAATGAAGCTTATTTTGGAGATGCTTTTATCATTAACTGTGGGCTTATGTTTCCACCGTTAGTCAAAGTTTTGATTTTGGTCTGTCTCTTTTTCAAACTGTACTACTTGGATTTTTTTTTTTGTTTGGGGGGGGGGTGGTTGGTTTAGTTTGGTTAAGAGAATTGGTGTTTGGAAGGAAATATAAGGTTTTTTGTTGCCGCTTGAACTTTTCCCATAGATTAAACTTGTTTTATTAATTTCAATTTCTATGCATGATAGGTGTTTAGTAGGGGAAATTGGATGCAAGTTGTTGTGCAAGAGATTTGAGGATTTATTTTTTATTTTTTTAAAAAATCTCCTATCAAATGATTTATATCTACTTTTTAAATAAATCATATGTACTAATGTATACTTTTGATTTCTGACATATATGTTTTTATATATGTATATATCATTTTGTTTCTCAAAATACTTTAATTATGACGAGTACTCAATGCTTATTGAAAGAGTTCAAAGTTTCGTATTTCCGTGGAAGGGGTGTTTTCATTGTCACTTACTATTAGACTGGGGGGATATTTTGTTGATTTTATTAAACCTTTTTACTATTTAGAAGCTAGATTTATACTAGGGATTTGAAGGAAGCTTTTCAAATATTATTCATAAATCTTCATGTATGCTTGAAAAATGTTTTTGAGAGGCAGCAGTACAGTTAGCCCTTGGCGTGCCATGGTTAATACCGAGCTCACTTGTTATTCATGGCTTCGCCCTGGTTGTTATTCATGGCTCATTCATGTCTTTGGCTGGGCCTGTTACCTGTGGCATGTGCCTCGCATGTATTGATGCACCATAGTTAATATGGAGCTTGCTTGATATTCGCGGACATCGTTTCTGCACTTGTATTCGTGCCCCGGCCACCTTTGACTGGTTACTTACCCTCATGGACTATGTGTCCATGCTTGTTTTTGTGGCTTCAAGCCATGCTTGTTATCTGTTCTGATTAAGTCCTCTGAAAGTTTGAGATTTGAAATTTACTGTTTTTCTTACTTACATGTTTAACAAATTATTTTACGCTTTATTCATTTGATGATCCTTATAACTTTGAACTGCTTGGCAATATGGAGGTTTCGAAGATAAACTTAATTATCTCAAAAATTATTGAACTTATGATTTAGGTGTTCTCATGGAATTCTTTGAGTCATGAAGCATATATTCTTGTCATTGGATTTTAGATAATTTTAGTAACTACAATCCTGTTATTCATTTGTTTTCTTTCTCTTGTTAAATTTGAATGAATTGGGACGTCATTTGCTAGTAAATATTTTTGGTTTCGCATTGTATGGCAGACCCTGTATTTCTAGCCTTTCAGTGAAGAGCCAATGAAGCCTGAACATTTATTTTGTACCACTTGGTGGAATGTAAAACTTTAGACTCTTATGTGTATAAATATATTTGTAAACCTTGTTTTAGTTGCTCCATGTAGACTAGAAGTAGCATCCGTGTTGTTGTATATATGTATATTGGTCACTTGTTATTATGGAGTAGAGCTCTTTAGAATAGATTATGTTGACTTTACTATTGTAGATTTTCTAGAGGGTCTTATTTATAAAGGAGACTTTGTTAAAATTCCCTACAGGAAACTTGTAACTTTGTTATATGAATTATATTCATAGACCTTATATAATGTATTGCAACTATGTCTAAATTTAAGTATGAGAAATTTTACGTATTCTGGGCTTAAGGGGCATGAGTTTTTCTCATATTCCTGGTCGGTCACCCTTAATTTTCAGGGCGTGACAAGTCAAGCGTGTTATAGTTTGCACAGATAAAGAAAGAATAGCAAGATCGAGAAAGAAGCACAAAAGTTCATCAATTAAACTATTTCTTTGGGAAGGAAAAAGGTTGGCTTAAATTAAGGCACATGGCAGACATTATAGTTGAATAATTTATGGTTTTCTTTATCTGATAGTGGAAATCATCATTATATTTGATTGATTTGATCCGAGGCTTAATATTGAAACTGCTTTAAGAATTTTTTTTTTAAAAAAAAGGGAACGTGTTAGGGCGGACAACCTTGAAGACATATATATATGTGTGTGTGTGTGTGTGATGGGCAATAGTGCTGCTGGTGGAGCTATTACTGGACTAATGTCTACAGTCTTTGGGAGGACACTTGGTTATTGCCGGAAGAGGACAACACAAGATTATTTCTTTGATGTTCCTGGTAAGTTGAAGAATAATGGAAAAGATGGTATACATATTAATGACACTGATGAATTATACATGACGTCCATAATTGATTTATCAACAATTTTGCCCTCTTACTAATTGCAGCCGAGGAGCATCCTAAAATTCACCATAGTCAGCTTAGAAAGTTTTCCCTGCGTGAGCTGCAAGATGCAACGGACAATTTTAGTGACAAAAACATTGTGGGTAAAGGTGGATCTGGCAAGGTTTACGCAGGACGATTGGCTGATGGGTCTCTAGTTGCAGTTAAAAGACTTAAAGTGGAAGGCGCTCAGTTTGGAGATCTGCAATTTCAAACAGAGGTACAAATTATGAGCTTGGCAGTCCACCGTAATTTGCTGCGGCTGCTTAGTTATTGCATGACCCCAACTGAACGGTTGCTCGTACATCCTTGCATGGCTAACAGCAGTCTGGCATCTTGGTTAGGGGGTATCCTTCAATTTCAAACTCATTTGTTGTTGATCAAATATGAATACGAATTATGAAATTATTAGAAGTTATTTGGGACTTGGATGCAAACACAATATATAAAGATATAAATATCTCCAAAAGAAACAAGAACATCGTACTGTTAAATATATAAGTTGTAGTTTCATATATATTGAGACGCGTTTATGCATATTGGGTTTGGCCTCAATTGTCTTCAAATGTCTTAGCCCGCCATCGCCAAGTGTTGCTTGGATGGGCTCTACGGAAGCGAATCGTACGGGAAGTTGCAAGGGGGCTTACTTATTTGCATAATCAATGTGATCCAAAGATCATTCACCGTGATGTCAAACCTGCCAGTATATTATTGCATGAGGATTTTGAAGCAGTTATTGGGGACTTTGGCGTTGCAAAACCCATGGACTACGAAGATATAGCTGTGCTTGGTTCGATTTGGCGCATTGCACCAGAATATCTCTCCGCCGGATTGTCTTAGGAGAAGTCTGATGTTTCAGTTACGGTGTGATGCTTCTTGAACTAATAACCAGACAGAAGGCTTTCGATCCGGCCCGACTAGTGAATGGTGGTCACGTCATGTTAATTGATTGGGTATGTTTTCTCTTTTCTCGTAACATTTATATGAGGTAATTTTATATAATCAAACATCTTTTCCTAAATGTAGTGCCGGGTAGCCCCTTAAATGGTTTCTTATGATCCCAAAAAGTCATTCAGCAATGAGTATAACAGTGCGCTGTTCAATATTTGGATCCAGGTGATAGGGCTTTTGAAAGACAAGAAATGGGAAACACTAATGGATGCTGATTTGGGCGATGAATATAATAAAGATGAGGCAGAGCATTTCATCAAAGTGGCCTTGCTATGCACACAAAACTCGTTTATGGGAAGACCAAAGATGTCCGAGGTGCTAAGGATGCTTGAAGATGATGGGCCTGATGAAAAATGGGATGAATGGCAGAAAGACGAGACGTGTCCATTAGGTAATGGAACCCTGCTTTGGCCTCCAGGAGGACCGTCAGGTCCCAGATGATCTTCTCAACCTTAATATACGTTAATTGATTTTCTTACTGCTGGCCAGATAAAATCCCCCACTGATCATGTTGTGATCGTTGCTATAAATGTGTAATTGGAAGTCTAGTCCACAGGTGACCATCACTTGTGTCTAGGTTGTACCTGTATCCTATGGATGAATAATTAATGTGTAAAAAATAAAAGAAAGAACAATTAATGTCTAGAAAATAGTACGTAAATGAAAGTGTGTTTTCCCTTTCAAATTCAGGTATTCAGACGAGGACGTAGATTTTAATAATAATTTATTATTTATTTATTTTTATAATTTAATATTTTAATAATAATTTTAAAAAGATTTAAATTTGAACTGTTAAAATATTAATTCAATGGTTAAAAAAAGGAAGAGAAAGAAAGAGGATGGGAAGGGAAGATAAGAGGCTCCAAATTGTTTGTTTTAATGGCTAATTTGCTTTGTCCTTCGTGTGTGCTTTTTTTTTTTTCCCTAATTACTACTCCGTCTTCATTAATATAAGTTATTTATAGTACATTTTTGCATATTAAAAATTATATTAAATTGACAGAATTTTTAAATTTTACTCTTATCAACTTTTCTCTCTCTCTATATTTACAAATTATTTTAACATCTCTTCATTTTCTCTCTCTTTCAATAAAAATTAAATAAAATTAAATATTAAATATACTATAAATAACTTTCATTTAGGATTAAAATTTCCTCCTAAATCCTTCTATAAGTGATTTACGTTTAGGAAGGGAGTGGTAGTTAGTGGAATCTATTTTTTCCCGTAATTGTCCACTGGAATTGCCAAAGTGCCCACACATTGATAAACCCATTTCAGGGTCACCCTGACAAAAGCAGATTTCAATAAAATTCGAGAGCACTAACTTTTGAAATCCCCAAAAATATAATCAACATCTATGTCTGTATACCTGAATTTTGAAAGTGAAAACAGACTTCCATTTACTTTCTAGACATTAATTTTTCATACATATAATACAACACAAGCGCTGGTCAGATGTGGACTAGACTCCCAATTATACATTTCTTGCAACAATCACAACATGATAAGTGGGGCATTCTATCTAGACAGCATATATAATCCAAAAGGAAGAAAGTCGTTGTTCTAGAGTTATGAAAGGACCCTGTAGATGCTGAGTAGGGTTAAGGTTGAGAAGATCATCTGAGACTTGACCCCTGCTTGGATTGAGAAAAAATTAGAGAGAAGAAAAAACTAAAAAGGAAAACATGAGGAGAAATGAGTTTTCTCTTGCTTAGATAGGAGAGAAAATAAGAAAGAAAGAAAAAATGGGGGAGAAAATAAGTTGGGCTACATACCTCATATAATCCTTCGTAGCCACATAGAGACACATATTTAATACTTTTCATTCTCGCTAATGAGGAGGGAACTTGCGTAATAGAAGTTCGATTTGCCACCAAAGTCGTGAAGGATTCCATTTGCCCAATGTTTTCTGTCAGCTTTTCAATCTTTTAACAACCAAAAAGATTTAGAGTTTCCAAAGATTTCAACTTGTATAGACCTTTTGGGAGATGATTGAGGCCTTTGCAGTCCTTCAAATTTAACAAAACAATATATTTAAGATCTCCAATGGAGGGATGAATCGAAGATAAAAGGGGACAATCTTTGAGTACCAATTTTTCAAGGTATGGTAACTTCGAAAAGTTAGGTGTTTTTGTCAAATAATGACAATGACTCAAATTGAGAATTTTCAACCACTCCAACATCTGCACCAAGAGAACATTTTAAAATTAATCATACAATAAATGAAAAGAATAAAATATAGGAGAACAAATTAATGCAGCTATTGTTACTAGTATTTGATTTGAAAATTCCATTGTGAATACCTGGCTTTCCTCCTGTACTGTTGTGAGATAACTCCACTTTAAGTCTATGGCAACTATCTTTTCTAGGCGTAAATTTGTTGGCAAATTTTCTAAAGGAAATTCACGCCAACAAAGCCATCTTAATTCCTTTGATAGATAATCAAAGTCTCCACCAAGTTGTACATGATCAAGTTGGAGCAAATGAAGATTCTTTATGTTCTCAAATGCTTTGGCACTCAACGGTTTTGAGTTGTTCGTTGACATGTTTAAAGCCAATCCCGTTATCACGTCTGTTCCCTATTAAAGTACAAAATAGATAACGGGAAATAAAAATTAATGATATATTCCAGTCATTGAAACATAACATAATACAAACACGCAACATATGATAGAGATGTTTGAACACAGAATAGTCAACTTAAAAATTGGGACTGCAAAATGAGTAATGAAAAAACAACATAAACAATGTAATTGTAAGTCATTGAGAGACATTTTACCGAGCAATTTATTAATACATTTAGCACATCATCACAAAACCGTAATTTGCTCCACTTCTCAGGATTCTTTGGTGATTTCTCGTGAATGATGTGTCTTCCCTTGTCACGTAGCAAGTCATGCATATCAAGCTTATTTCTGTTGCCAACTTTTACAAGGCTCCTCTCTACCAGATGAATAATTCCAATATCAACATGAAATCCACAACCATTTAATATTTGTGTAGCATGGCTTTTGTCCTTCCCAATAAGAAAACAACATACATCAAGGAATATATCTCTCTCTGTTTGGTCACTCAAACCCTCATAACTTATTTTTATCTTTTCATGTATTTTATTGTTTGGAATTTGTTGTAGTTTCTCTAAAACACTTTTCCATATTGACACTTCCCTATTAAACAAATAAGATCCGAGCACTTCAAGAGCTTGCGGCAGACCTCCTGAGTAAGAAACAATCCTTCTTGAAAATTCAACAAAATCTTCTTCAGGGAATGTTTGCTTAAACGCGTGCCAACTAAAAAGCTCAAGAGATTCACTGTCATTCATTTCTTTCATGTTGTATATTTTATGTTCCTCCACTCCAAGGATTTTGAGTAGCCGTTCATCTCTAGCAGTGATGATTACTCTACTACCTTGACCAAACCATTCACAACTTTCACATAAAGCTTTCAACTAATCTTCATCATTTACATCATCAAGAACAACAAGTGCCTTTTCTTACAAAGCATTTTCTTGATTAGAGTTGTCCCCATTTCTGTACTTGTAAGCTGCACTCTTCTCGCATTAAAGATGCTTGAAAGAATTTGATTTTGCAGATAAATTTGACCATTATCTTGCTTCCACACTTCCCTCACATTTGACAGGAAACTCTTTCCTTCAAAAGTTTGACTGATTTCATTGAAGATGGCTTTAGCAATAGTAGTCTTACCTATCCCCCCCATCCCCTATATCCCTACTATAATAACCTTATTTGATTCATTAATCAGCAACTTGATGATATCTTGCACACGAGGCTATACTCCCACTGGGTGGTGAGCAGCAAACAAATCGTCTTTGTTGTCTAGCTTCATTGTAATAGTGTCAACAACATTGTCAATCAACTCCGTTTCAGTTCTAGCAAAAACAAGTTACATTTATATCAGCATCAATTTTGGCATTTAGTTATTAATCTTGGATACTAACAACTCTTTTCTAAATGGTTGGATCAATGTCCTCTTAACATCCATGTTAGCTAAAATTCGTTTAAATGTCTTTGTTATGTATGAAACCAAATTCAAACCCTCACCTGTTGCATCTTCTCTAAGGAAATTACAAAAACCTTTTGCAGCTGTGCTATTCATTATTCAGTGCTCATTGTGTGATTTGTAAGAGTAATTAAGCAGCTTAATAATTTATAATATCCCAGCTACAGCCAAGAATTTTCTTTTCCTAATAACAGTATTTTCATCATATGTTGAAGAGCATATCACCAATAGGAACTTAAGGAATTTAACGATTTCACATAGTGATAATCAAGCTTAATTACTAAAAAAGAATTATATCAGACTTACCTCAATTCATGCAAGTCTCACCCAGATATATTCGCAGCTTCAATGAGTGCTTTCTTCCAACTGATCATCGATTTCTTTACTTTGCTAGTTGAGTTTCCTAGCGAGTCTTTTTCATGCTTCTCCAAAAGTATTTTGTTGTTGACGAACATTAGACGGCTGCACATAGTAAAATATTGGTAAGACCTCCTGATGAGTTGTCTAGTGACACTCCATGATTTTCTCTAACTCTTGCAAGCACCAACTAGAGCCAGCATAGTTTTTCGAGAATATAATTATCGACATTCTAGAACTTTCAATTGCTTGCAATAAAGAGCAAGAAATGGCTTCACCCCTTGCAATCCCCTCTTCATCCATGAAGACCTCAATACCTGCTTTCTTTAGAGCAGTGCAAAGATGAGTAGCAAAAGATTTACATGTATCTTCACCTCTAAAACTCAAGAATACTTCATAGGTATATTCATGCTTTATCTTTTTAGGACTTACTTCTCTTCCTATCTCTCGCAACAAATGATGAACATCAAGCCTGTCGCTCATATCAACCTTTACAAGTCCCCGCTGTATAATCTCATGCATTGCCTTTTCTACAGGAAAACTTGAGCCCTTTAACAAGTATGTGACATCGTGTTTATTTAGACCCACATAAAAGGAAGCTATATTAAAGAATAAATCTTTCTCTGAATCGGTTAAAAAATTCAAGCTTATCTTGAGCTTCTCTTGTATTTGACCACACGGGGAATCCCTCTCAATTTCTTCAACACATTATTCCACTCTTTTTTTGTCCTATTAAGCAAAAGAGAGCCAATAATTTCAAGAGCTAATGGTAGTCCTTCACAAAAATTTATTGCTTTCCCTGATAGAGACATGAAATCATCTGTTGGACTAGATTTCTTAAATGCATGCCGGCTGAAAAGCTCAAGAGAGTCACTCTCATCTAGCGTCTTCATTTCGTAAAGGTACAGTCTGAGACCAAGAAGAAGATCCTTATTCATTAATGTAACGAGTACCAAACTCCGTTCGCCAAAGCACGGATCACTACTTCCACATAGTGCTATGAGTTGGTCTATATGATTCACATCATCAAATACTACCACTGCACTCCTGTAGTAGAGTGCCTTCTTCATCTGACGTCCATGAACCATATCAAGTTCTGTTTCGAAAACATCTGAAATAAGTTGATGTCGTAGATGAACTAGACTATTATCTTTCTTCCATTCATCATTGATATTTGCAAGGAAACTTTTTCTCTCAAACCTGCCATCCATTGTCATAAATAGCTCTAGCGAAAGTAGATTTACCAATACCTGCAGCCCCCCATATTCCGATCATGGAATTAGTCCCATCAACAGACGAAGTGCATCTTTCACACGACGAAGTAACCCCACTGAATGGGACGGAAGATTGCAAAACAAGTATTTATCTAATTCCCCCTTAAGTTTACTCATTTCTTGCCTGGACAAAAATGATTTTAGAATCAGTAAAAAGTTACGTATAATGTATGCGCGTATTTAAGTGTCAAATTTTATATAATAGAATTTGATTAACAAAACCTTCTCTTCCACTCAACATGTATTAAGTTCGATGATATAGGTGACACAATCATACTCATTCGGAGACACAATAAGAAACAAATATCAGACTTCAGTTCTATTTAATTAGTTTCTAAAGGACCAGCTACCACCAATGCTTTATGATGAACTTTCAATCCCACAAAAGCGGAAATTTCTTCCCATTAGTAACTAGTAACATTAGGGATTTTGAATGCTGTTGCTTTTATCAACTTCTCACATGATCCAAACGTGCATCTAGCAAAGACTTTTATTGAAGAAAAATTGATTATTTGATGGAATCAGATTTTTCATGTGGTATTTGATATATGATACTACTTGATTAAATTTAAGCGTTGTTGAGCCTAAATGGAGTACTGCTTTCAAAGGAATCTTTTGCATTCAGATGAACTCGAACTTTATGATATGGTTAGGACTGACACCTATTGCTATGGAATCAAATTTTGAGAAATCAAGTTTTGTGTAAATTGCAGAATTTTTTGGTTTCTAAATTTATTTATCTAATGAATATTTTAATTGCACGCAAATAATTTTAATATTACTTGCTTTAGAATAAGTTCAATTGGATCCATTAGGGACCTTGTGATCGAATCAAAGAGTTGTAATTTGATGCTTTCGCCAATATAAAAACCTGTTCAATTTCTTTAAATGTTGTTAGGCTCCATTAGAATCTGTCGAAGATCGGTTAAACCCATTAAAACCTGCACTAACAGTTAAAACCAAAACCCATCCCAGTTTAAAATTAGACCAATGTGAAAAAGGGTAGTATTTAACACTTGGGGGCCATGAGCTGAAATTTTTACCTTGTCACTATGAAGTTTATACGGCAAGGAAGTCTTTTTACCAGGACTGTTTTGCAGTTGAAATATAAGTAAGAAACCTAATTTAAGATTTTTAGTACCCATTGCCCCAGTTGTTTGAAAGTTCAGTAATCTAGGGTGTTATTTGGCTCTAGAAATTTCTTATGGTGTCGGTTTGCTACAGGCCGCCATTCCATTTTGGTTATGTGATCTCAATGCTTGCTAACAGATGTGTCTTAAATTTCTGTGTTTTCACTCTTGGTTTGAGAGCTCAAAATTCATATTTATATATTAATCATAATGCTTTTGGCCAAAAAAAAAAATCATAATGCTTGCTTGTATTTGATCCTTCTCCATCACGCACTTACTCTCGAGTTTCTGGCTCAAGCGACATCCTACCACCCACACTCATCTCACGAAGAAGGTAGTGAATAATTTTATACTCTAAAGTGGTAAAAATGCGATTGGTGCGTGTGTGCAGCTCGTTCCCCTAAAAGGTCATATTGTTTTAAATAAAAAACAAATTGCAAACAAAGCTCTTTTTTTTTTTTGGTCAAAAGATACTATGGGTACAAGTACTAATAAAACCATGTCGAAAATCAGGAAAACAAGAACCATCTAAAAGTTAACCACGATCAACCCAAAATTCATCCTTAATGTTCTGTTTGAGATATAGAATGAGGTTATTTGACCTGCTGACCCTCTTCAAACCAGATTGATCGAGCGACGTCAGGATTTTTTGAATTTATCTCTTTCCTATCAAAATTCCCCCGTCTTACCAGATGATAAACCACTAACTTGTTCCACCTAGATGAAAACCCTACGTCTTATGTGGGAAGAAAAGTTTGAAGAAAGAAAAATAAGAAGGAAAAAAATGAGATGAGAGACCTGAAGAAAAGTGTTACTCCTCCGGTCCTTAATATAAGATCTATTTAACTAATTTGATTAGATTAATGAAGTTAGGTAAGTTAGTTAATTATAAGAAATATGACATGTTTTTTCCTAAAACATCATAATTATCTTTCTTAATATCATCTTTCCCTCTTCTACTTGATTATTGTTGAGGGAGTATTCGTAGGAGTAATTTAGAAAAAAAAACTGATAAATATAAGAAATGGGTTTTATATTTAGGATCAAAATCAATTTAATAATTAGATCCTATATTAAGGACTGGAGGAGTATTAGTTATCTTATTTGGATGAACGAAGGAAAATAAGAAAAAATAAACAAATAAATGAATGACAATGAGATAATTATATTGATATTAATGTCATGAAATAATTTAAATATTTGTAATACATAGATGAAATTAAATTTATATATTCTACTATTTCTAGTAAATAATACAGGAAAAATGATAAAATAAAAGACCATGAGAATTGTGAAATTACAAATCAAGTATTTTCTAAGAAATGTGTTATCATTTGCAACTCTATTGTTGCCAAAACTTCTGAAAGAAATGTAACGGGTGCCAATTTGTAATTTTACACTTTTCATTGTCTTTTTTAATATTTTCTAAAAAATATATGTTAAAAATATTTAAATATTAAATAATAGCAAACATTTAATATTTCATCTGCATTTGAGGTATTATCTTTCCCCGATGACACCCAAAAAAATGCTGCCTTCTGCAAGCTTGCAGTTACGATAATATTGCTAGATCTTGAATGACTGACAAATATGAAGAGGGGCGGACGCGACTCGCGAGCATAGAAGAGGAAGAAGTACGTCTCCTTCCCATTTTCTCTCTTACTTGGGAGAACTTACCTTCTTCCTAACTTTTCCTTCCCCATATTCTCTCCATCCAGACACATGGTAAATCAAAACCAATACAAGCAGAACCAGATTGATATAGGAAAAGTAGTAGTAGTTATTACCTGAGATCAATGGACAGCTTGACGCCGGATTGCGAAGCAGCTTCGACGGCGATTCCAATCCAGTCCAAATCCTTATATCGCGTCGCCAAATGCTCAACCACTTGCTTTTGTTTCGCTCCCCCGAATACAGGAACCACCGGTCTGTTCATAGATTTGTGATACTCCATTACTTTCTGGAGCCTCTCAATAAGTAGCTTGTCGGAGGCACTGAGGAATTCCGGCGTGAAGATAACCATAAGAATTCTCGACCTTTCCATGGCCTCCAGCGCGGAAGACAGTGACGTGGCCATCGTTGAAGGATATATACAGTCTGCGAAAAGTTTGATGGCATCATCTCTCAGAGATCCTACCAGAAACCGAAAGTCTGGGAAGCGATGTGCGCTCACTTGGGAAATTGCGAAGACGTCAAAATGGGAAGTCAATTTGGGTTTGGAGGACGAAAAAGTCAAGGAAGACATAATTGTTGTGGACTAAAGGAATGAACTCGGATTTGCCTCTACTGGTAGACAAATAACGGATCCCTCGCTGAAAGTAGAACAACACGAGGCAAAGTTTTCAACTTCCTTTTTTATCAGAAAAAAATGTTGGGAGAATGAAATAGAAGGAACATGGAAGTAAGCTAATTATCATAACCATAATCAAGTAGGAATGGGAGGGAGAATATTAAGAAAAATAATTATGGTATTTTAGAAAAAACATTTCATATTTCTTATAATTAACTAACTTACATAACTTCCTTAATTTAATCAAATTAGTTAAATGTATAGGTTATATATTAAGGACTGAAGGAGTATTTTGTATGGATTCAATAATTGATGGATGTGTTCTCTAATAATTGACGGATTCAATTCATCAGTATTGCTCATCGCGGACATTATGAAAGAAGGCTACAAGCATCTTTTTTCCGTGGAATTAAGACATGAAACTGTAACCATGTATTCCTTAACCAAAATGTGTACACAAGAGCTAAACAAAAGAATTATCACCCCTCATCATCCACTTCCTCAAGTGCGAAAAGCCTCATTATTGGAATGTTCTAATTAATCTAACTAAATCTGAAACATAAACATTATTGGACCTCATATTAAGAAGATTTTAGAGTTTTAACCCATGATGATTCAGTACATGGAGAGACGAGTTTTGGTTTCATTCTATCTTCACTTTACTCAATAATTTGAATTGAAGCAAGCTAATAATGTCGAAAAATATCCTCGCACGCAAAATGACAAATCTGAGAAGGAGATTGAATGAAAGTGATTAAAATTAAAATAACAAACAGGCTTGCTTTTAATTAAATAACTGAGCTCCACTTTCTCGTGTGGAACTTTAAGACTTTAAGAAACAAAATGCTTCAGCACTTCGAAAATTCGTTAGAGTGATAGTGACACTCGCGCCATCTAAAGCAAAAGTCATAAAGCCTCAACTTCTCAGTCATTTCCTTACCCACTAAGAAGGCAAAAGTTATTGTGTTCTAATAACTACTTTTATTCAATTTATAAGGTAGGGATAGAAGATTTTATTTGGTACTATTTATAAGTTATATTAGTAAATTTTAATCTTAGTCTATTATTTTGACATTCATTTATTACTTTATATATTGTTATTTTCTTAAAAAGTATCCATATTAAATAAAGATAAAGTTAAAAAGTTATTAAATAAGATACAGTTAATAAGATTTAAGATTTTTCTTAATTTCGACAAAACATGTATATGATAAATTATTTATAAATAAGATTAGTGAGTTAGTGAAAAGTTTATTCCTTTTTTCTGCTTTTAGCCCCTTGCGATGTTCAGGAGGTACATTAAATTTGGTAAGGGTTCAATTATAAATCATAAAATGTACTTTCTTTTTCTTTCTTGAACACAGATTATGCGCGTTTTTAAATCTTATTTATAAGAGCCAAAAATCCCTTGCTTTATGCATTTATCAAAAAAAAATTTCTATACCGTCATTAATAAATGAATTACCTTTCAATTAATAAACCACTAGTCGGTTTCTTTAACATCATTATTAGATGGATGATGGTATTTTTGAAAATAAAATTACAACTCTAACTTTTTTTTAAAATGTCAATGTTCTAATTACAATGTTACTCCATCCGTTCCTTTTTTTCAAATGGACATGTTTCTTTTACAAGTCACACTTTGAAGATGTTTAAATATATAATACAATTTTTTTATTTACACTCTTAATTAATTATACGTCTTTTTTACCTCTTATTTTTAATGTTGTTGAAAATGGGATTTAACTCTTAGAGTTATATTTTTTTGCGTTCTTAGTTTGCTGGAGTTCTTTTGTTTTGTTTTGTTTTTTTTAAATTCTATTGTCAATGACAAATGTGGGAATGAAAATAAATGGAGCAGCTCCCAAGAAGACTATTTTCGATCACATGAATAGTTTTATCATTTTAGGGGAGAATGATTGTTGGATTTTGGGCTTGGATCCGCCCTTGATGGGCCGGATTATTTGACCAGGTATAAAGAAAATATACCAGTCAAATATCCAGGCAATATTATGATATGTTTGACTTGGTCAAACACCCTGAATCATATCCAATCGGTTACGATATAAATCTAATTAATTTATATTAAATTAATTAATTTATATTGTGTAGATTAAATATATATATTAAGTATATATATTTAGAATTAATTGTGATTGATTCTGGATTTGAATTCAAATATCATGATATTATAAGATAAGGATATATTTATATATTCTATCTCAGATTTTATCTGATGGGCTCAGTGGATATTTTTGGCTACCCAAAATACCCCTGACAAAAGCTATAAATAGAGGCTTTCCCCATAAGTTCAAATGACTCCAGTAGTAGAGCTTTCCTACTATATATATGTAACATCCCGAATTTTCTGACTCAGGATGAGCAAAAAAGAGAAAGTTCATTAAAATTATTTAATAGCTCAATCACAATTGGGGAAAATTATGAAATATTGATTTTTTTAAGGTTTAGAAATATTTTGGAAAAGTTTATTCCCCAAAAAGTGGCTTAAATGATTTTAAAGCTATTTTCATAGCAAAATGGGTTATTGTCTTAGAAAATACTTAGAGGTTTCCAATTAACTAGAAAATTTTAGGAAAATTATCTTATGAGGTAAAGAAGTTATTTGAGGCATAAAATCCTTAAAATGGATTAAGGATTAATTTCTGAAATTAAGAGCTATTTTCTTGGAAAATTTCAGAAAAATAGTCAGGAATGGACTTTTGACCTGAACTTCTTAGGAAAATTATTTTATGGGTCAAAGAAGCTAATGGATAAGAAAAATCCATTTATGATATTTTGGTTTAATTTCTGGATATATCTTATATTTCAGAAAAATAGGAGAAGGAATAGGATTGGAGGAATAATTATTTAGGAGGGCAAAATGACTCAGCAACCATGTAGTACGCGTGCTGCCTTCTTTGTTTGCCACCTGATTCACTCCCTCAATTATCAGCTGGTCATCCACGTGTTCTGCCTCTTTAACCTCCAGACCGATCCTACCCTCCTTTTTCACTTCATTCTGCAACGCTGAAAGAGAGAGAGAGAGCGCGAGGGACAGACCGTGAGAGGAAGAGGTTGGCGACGGAGTAATTGATCGGAGGTAGTTTTTCTTGCATGCGAACTTGGATTCTGAATCAGGTGAGCTTCACATGTCTATCACTGTTTTCATTTTCTGGTTTCGGTCATGTTTATGGCGTGTTTGAGGAGAGAGAGACAGAAGGGTAGTGAGAGAAAGTGATGGAAAGGATAAGAGGACCGATGGATTCGGATTCTATGGGTAGATTGAAGTGTTTGATGTTGGTTTTCAAGCTTGCATGTAGGTTCCTTGCTCTGTTTATGTCAACCGAAAACAGGGGTTAAGTTTTGAAGTGTTGGGTGTCGGGTTCTGACAGTAAAGTAGTAAACACAACTGTATAAATTTTCTAGCTTGCATGTGCTGTTGCTCTGGTTTGTAGGTACCGAGACAGGGGCTGTTATCTTCTTGAAGCCGCTGGTTTAGTTTTGGGATAATGGAGAGATATGAAACTCTTAAATACCAGAGTAACCGAGCCGTACATATAGATATAAATATATATATAAACACACACACATACGGATGCCACGCTGCTTGGAATGGGGTTTTAGAAGAGGGGTGTGGGTGTGCAAATAAATATATATGAATTCAATTGTTGTGAATGTTGACCGTGGGCATTGAGAGTAGGTGCGTGTTGTCATTGCCATGAAGAGAGATAGGAAAATGAGTAGCAAGCTATACTTACACACACACACACACACACACATATATATATATGTTTGTTAGTGACTTCCGGTGCGGGGGTTTATTACTTCTGGATGTATGATTTTGGGTTCCTTAAATATTCAGATTAATGAGGATCATAGAGGTTAATGGTGTGAACCGTGAGAATTATGGAAATTGTGAACGGTTGAAGTCTATTTCCAAATCTGAAAATTCCTTTTGAGATTTAAGGTACAAGGCTAGCTATCCGAGACATTCATGGGTAATTAAAGATGTATTGGAAATAGAATATTTGTGTGCTAGGACTTAGAAGATTATGGAGATCATGGCTGGAAATAATTCCCATTGATATTTTCTGGGCAAAATATTGTCTTAATTATTCTATCACGCTTGGGGGTTAAGGAATAATTAGTGAATCAATTTTATTAAAGTCTGGAAATTTACTGGAGAAGGAGTAAAGCCATGCAGTTTAATGGAAAGAACGATTAAGAACATAAAGAATAGTTATACATGTGTGTGGCTGTTCGATTGTGATATGAAGAATGACTTTGGAAGCTTAGTGTTGATGTGGAAATGTCATTTAAATAATTAAATTAGAGTGTAGCTTTAGAATTTTGAAGGAGAAAATTGATTAGAACTCTAAAATGTGAAGCTTTGAACTAAGGGATACTTTGTTATGAGGAAGTATTAAATCATTGGAGTTTATTGATAAAAGAACCTATAAAAGGTTGAATCGAGTGATTTAGCTATTGCCCTTCAATCTGAAATTTTCTTTTAGATTTAAACTAAAGGATTGTATGGTTTTGGAAAGTACAACGATGGCAGTAACTTGATCATGAAAAATATTGGTACAACTTGTAAACTAAAATGAATATAGTTGAGTAATTGTAAATGTTTGGGTGTGTCTCTCGACCAATCATAGGGTTATGGTTAGAAGTAATGTGATTGTATTAATATCTTCAAAAGTCTATGAAAGAAATGTGAGGATTAATAAGGGGAGGACTTAAGGAATGTCCTTAAAATATAATAAATAGAAATAGTATTTTTGACC